ATATATATATATATATATATATATATATATATGTGTGTGTGTGTGTATGTATATATATATATATATACATGTGTGTGTGTGGAGTGATACGTGATATATTTTAATATTATATATACATATATATATATATATATATATATATATATATATATATATATATATATATACATGTTTGTGTGTGTGTGTGTGTATCTTAATACTTAATACTACATTTATATAAAATAGGCATGACTTCATAAGCCTTTACTGCCATGTCTTCATAATGATGTGCAAATGAGGTAGCCCATCCCAAATGTACCTTTTGTTGGTCATTAAATGGTACAAATCTGTACTTTTTACTGTTAGGAAAGACTTTTTTCCTAACTTTTCAGAAAATCAGAAGGCACATATCTGACCCTTTGAAGTCCAATATTATACCTTTGCGGGCACATTTGTGAAAAGTGTACCTCGGAGTACAAGACAGTACTTATATCGTACCTCCATTTTTTAGTGTGTAAAGTCTAAATCAGTTAAAAGTCTGAAATGTTCAACTCTGGCTGTGAACCAGTTCAGTAGAATGATCCACACACTACACAGTCAGTTTGCTTGTAATGTGAAATAATTAAAGATTTTGGCCTCCATTTTGATTAACAGTGTCGTGTGTGATGATGGTGGTCCATTAGAGAACATAATCAGCAAGATCCAGATCAGTGTTTCCCAGCCCTGCTCCTGGAGATCCCCTGCTCTGCTCCTGGAGACCCCCTGCTCTGCTCCTGAAGACCCCCTGCTCTGCTCTGGAGACCCCCTGCTTCGCACTTGGCAAACATAGGCAGGTGCTTAGGGACCCCTTGAGCCAAGGACCCCATAAAAACACAAATTAGATATGTTATACGTGTTTAGGTTAAATAACCTACTCTGAAAATTATATACTTTTTAAAAGTAGCTGTTATTTGTGATTGTAGTGGTAATTTTAGTAGCGTCAGTGCAGCGCCATCCCCCAGTCGAGGTTATAATGGACCACTGCATGTTGTTGTGTGATGACACAGCTGCATAAAGACAGACTGATATGAACAAAGCCATTAAGAGCTAATCTGCAGTGTGGAGGAGACGGTCTTTAATGTTGAGGGGGGAAAATAAACTACAAGAGAAGAGGAACAAGTTTGTCGCTTCACTCCCAAATTTAACTTCATTTTTTAATGTACACTGTTAGAAATAAAGGTTCTGTGCAGGTACATTTATCGTTCATCAAGATACAAACAATGTAAATGTACCTTCAAAGGCATAACAGTGGTTTTACGGTCCAATTGTGAACCCTAAATAAGTTTTTCCCAGTTGAAAAGTTTGTATTTGTACCTTTTCATAACCTAATGTTTAAAAACAGATCAATAAAATAAAAAGCCTGGAGACGAGACAGGGTATGTGGAGTCAATACAACTTAGAAAATATGATTTCAACGGATTATGGTACAGATATGTTCCCTGACTAAAGGTACTGAGATGTACCCTTGAGGGAACCACCCTAGAGACAAGAAGGGAAATGCCCCAGTGACAGTTTCATACCTAAGTTACTAAAATCTTCATTTTAAATGTACTGAGATTACATTACTTATGACTTCCTGTTAATGTAATCTCATTATTTTTTCCTGGAAAAAATAACATGCTTCTAATTTAAAAATAAAACTTCACCAAATACAAAACAGAAAACAATTAACCACCAAGAATCTCAGAGAAAGGTACAATCTTTTATTAAAGATTAAGGATTAACAAATGAAAGCGTTAACCCGAGTTACCCTGGGCTGCAACTAAAACATACACAAAAAAATCAAACCTTGTTATACTGATCTGGAGGGGGTACAGACCCCCTTTAGCTCATCTTACCTGATCTGTCTTACCATCACATGCAACTCTGACCGTACTGAGTTCTATTATAACAGTAACAATTTAGTGCCTTTTACATACACATTGTTTCTTCCATCAGCCTCGGCCTTCTGCGACAAACACCTTTGTTTTCTTCTGTGCCGCATCATCCTTCATCAGCCCTTGCAGTTCTATTAATTCATATATCATCACATAAAATAATAATCACTGGCCTTAAGGCAATATATTTGATTACCGTTATATATAAATTAAAATACACTTGCCTATGTTTTGATTGCATCATGTCACATCAATTAACTTATCCCTGTTTTCCACTTTTTCATTGACCAAGAGAGAACAAACCTATTGATTATCCATTAATTGTGACTAAACAGGTTATTCCTAATTGCGACTAAGCAAGCAAGTGTGTGTGTGTGTGTGTGCGCAGGCCAAGGCTCCTACACAGTGGTCAAGAGTCTGTATCATAGTTACAATTTATGTTCAAGAAGGGACTGAGCAGTGTTTCACAGGCATGGTTGAAACATGTAGCGCTGAAGGACAAAGCCCAAGCATGTACAGAGAGGCCTTGCATGTACCCACAGAGGCCTGGACACAGAGAGAGAACAAACACAGCACAGTGTAATTAACTATGCAATCAAATCAACCATTAATGTGGTCACAACTGATGTGTTTCTCTTCTCAAAGACATTCTTAATAGTGTGTAGTACAAACAGGATCTCCGTGTCTGTGTGTGTTTCTCCAGGCCTTTGACACAATGCTTGGCACACACCACATAGTCAGCATCTCTCACACAGACACACACAGACAGACACACACACACACACACACACAGACAATATGATTAGTAATGATTATTTTTTTTTACTTTATTACTTGAAAAATCTTTCACTTAAAAAAACTCTTTCACATTATGAAAATATCTCAGTACGTGACTGAAGTACCGTTGAGCGAGGCACTTAACCCTCAACTGCTCCCCGGATGCTGCAAATAGGGCTGCCCACCGCTCTGGGCAAATGTGCTCACTGCCCCTAGTGTTTTCACTAGTGTGTATGTGGTGTTTCACTGCATGAATGGTTTAAATGCGGAGGTAACATTTCCCACTAGTGGGACTAATAAGGGTTACTTACTAATCTACTTTGCACCAAATTATCTCACTATATAAACAGAAAATTGAGCTTGTTTTAAGCATTATTTCTTAAAGCCAACAACATTATCTGACATTATTGTGAGATAATTTCATCTAATAAAATTACTGCACAGAATATGGCTTGAACTAATGTTCAATCACTGCCAGGCACTCTGGTGAGACGTGCTGGAAGAAGTGAATTTCTTTTCTTGACTCAAGATGTTGATGCGACTTTGAGGAAGATCAGGGTGATGTTGGGCCAAAATACAGTCAGTGAGATTTTTTATGTTTTACTATTTCTTATTCTTTCTCTAACATTTATGTCTGCACTCTTAAAAAAACAGTTCTTCAAGGGCTCTTTAGTAAATACAGTGGTTCTTTATATCACCTACGTATTAATCTCCAACAGCCTAGATTATTGTAATGGCCTCCTTACTGGTCTTTTCTAAAAATCGGTCAGGCAGCTGCAGCTCATTCAGAATGCTGCTGTCAGAGTGCTAACAAAGACAAAGAGATATGACCTCATCACTGCAGTACTCAGAATAGATAAAAAAATGCTTTTTGTTTATAAATCATTACATGGACAAGGTCCTACTTACATCACTGATATGCTGGTAAAATATAGGCCTAAAAGAAACAGTGGAGATCAGTGGAGTCTGACCACCTGACAGTACCTAGAACCAGAATTGAACATGAGGAAGCATTCAGCCATTAGGCTGCTGTCAGTTGGAATAAACTTCCTGAAGATGTGAGATGAGCTCAGACTGTAAGAGTTTTTAAAAATAGACTGAAACATATCTGTTCAACTGTCCAGGCTTAAAACGGTCCTATTTGAGCAGGATTTCATCTCAGTTTAAACACTGTTAGCATTTCTGGACACTCTCCTCTGTAACGGCACTTTATTAACCTAATTGTTACAATTTTAATTAGATTTTTAAAAATCACAGTTTAATTTCTAATTTGATTTTTATTTAATAATTTTCACTTTTATATCTATAGTTTTAAACATCTTTTACTCATGTTTTTAATTTCTATTCTCTTCTACTTTACTTTTTAAATGACTGTATTTTCTCATTTGTAAAGCACTTTGAATGACAGCAGTGTATGAAAGGTGCTTTATAAATAAACTTTCCTGGCCTATATAGAATAACGAACACATAAACATAGTGAAATGGTTCAGATTGATGGAGCGCATGTCATATATGTGTCTATATAGAAACTTTTTGAAAATGTTTCTATATTGCAACAAAATGAGTTTTTCCATTGTTTGAAATTGTAACAATAGAAGAACCTTTTTGGTGCTATATAGAACCATTGTTCTGACATTGCTGTGTCTAATTCATTTATTCCAGACAGTGTAAATGATTATTGAACCACATTCATGTTTTTCTGTCTTTATTTAGCCACATGTCCCCTCTTGCTTATACATTGTGCCTTTGCAAATAAAGCAACTTCAAAAGAGGCGCCTTTTTATAGATGGCCTGAAGCAAGAAAAGTTCTATACAACTATAGATTATTATTATTAGTAGTAGTAATGTCAGTAGTGGTAGTATTAGTATTATTAAGATAAATAAAAAAAGGAAAATTGAAACACCTCCAAGTACTGATATATGTAAACATCAAATATGGCGTAAAATAACAGCATGAAATACAAAGATTTTCTGGAGTAAAAGTTAAAGAATCAGCAGAAACAGCTACATCATATGAGTGTATGACATTTGGAATACTTGCACAGTACTGTGGAGTTTGTACCACGTAATTTCCTACTTAACATCTAGAACCTGTTGGACAGTGTAAATAGACTGATTTCAACACGGGACATCTGTCTATGTACTACCCAAACTAATAATAATAATAATAAGAAGAAGAAGAAGTAGAAGAAGAAGAAGAAGAAGAAGAAGAAGAAGAAGAAGAATGTGTCAAATGAAAAACACACATGGCTTTGCTGCAATGCATTTATTAAGACACATGCTTAATCAAGGGTGCTCAATCGTGGTTCTGGAGATCTACCACCCTGTAGATTTCAGACCCAGCACACCTGCCTCTAATGTTCAGGTGCTCCTGAATGTCTTCATTATCTGGATCAGGTGTGATTAAAGGTGGAGCTAAACTCTGTAGGGTGGTAGATCTCCAGGACCAGGATTGAGCACTCCTGTGCTAAGTGCTTAAGATGGTGGAGTCATGCACTGGAAGGGGTTGGGCAGTGCTTTGCGGATGGCCGTGAAGATCCTGGACAGACGTTTGCGTGTTTTCCTAAAGGCTGATTCTCTCTGTTCAGCTGCAAAAGAGAAATCAGAACAACAGCAAATGACAAAACAGTCAACATCCAGTTAATTCTATTATATTCTACATTACGTATAGAAGAATAAAAGAGCAACACTGTGAGGCTCAGCTTATGACACACTGGTCTGAGCACGTCCACTGTGAATTAACGGCTCTGTGTGTATTGTTTCATGTACTTACACTTCTGAAGATTTCCAGAGGACGAGGTAGACTGATGATGGTCAGACATCATGCCAGCAGGACAAACTTTACTTGATTTCTAGATGATCAAACATTTAACAAAGAAAACAGAAAAAAACAACATTAACAACAATAACACACAGTCTTATATTTAACACAATACTTCATAATGTAGCAACTCATATGATTAGTATGATTTCTGATCATCCAGTTATTAATAATTAAAAAGTCCACTACCTTTACTCCAGGACTGAAGACGGGAGCTTTTTTACACAGAATGAAATGAAATCCTCGACTGCTCTTTTTCACAGCCACAGGGTTTGGATCCGAGGAACGGTGGTCATTTAATGGGCTGGAGCTGGAAGAGTAGGTTTCATAATCCTTGTTAGAAATGCTGTGATTATCCAACGTCTCTTTCACCATCTTACTGCCAGCCCTGCTTGAGGTTGTGGGTGACACAGCAGGTGACTTGAAATCCAATGGAGAGACGTCCTGACTCCTTTCAGGTTTAGTTTGCTCAGAATCCACGAGCAATAACAGAGGATCCTCTATTCTGCTCTGTGAGTCTGTGAGCGCCTTAGTCAAACGGCTTTCTGAATCAGTGACGGCACATTGTGAGCCAGCTGACTTGTCTGAATGTCTGTCCTGGCCTTTAGAACCTGCCCTTGTACTTGCTGAGTTCAGACTTAGCAAGTGTAGGAGTAAGGTCTTAACTGATTCATCTACAAAAACGCAGACTAGCGATGAAGGTACTTGGACTGGATCCCTCAGCAGATTCTTCCTCACCCAAGATGCATCTAGAACAGAGTCTGAGGAACGTTTCCAAACACGTGATGGCCCTTTTATATGTCTGAGAACCTCAAAGTTGGTTAGTCTATCTGCATGACATCGTATGGTTTCATCAGAAATCGGATGTTGCAGTTGGTTCGTCTGTTGGAGAGACTGAGGCTGGGGCACTGCTACAGTTTCAGCAGCAGAATCAGACTTCTCAATCACGTCGTACTCAGGGTCAGTAGTTCTCTCTGACACAGTAAATACTGACGAGCTTGGAGTTTTTCTAGAAGTTTTAGACATGCTGTGGTGGGAGGTGGTTGGTGTGGCTTGAATTCTCTCTGAAGTATTTTCATTTTCTTCAGTACTGATGGATTTGTGAGAGATTCTCTGTCTAGCAGCACCCATTAAAAGATTATTAACTGCATCGGTCAGGAAGCTCTTAGGCTTAACAGTTATCAGTCTGAAAGGCTGTTCTGGAAGTGATTTTGAGCTGTGGAGAGGAACTTCAGAGGAGCTTGGCAGAAGTAGCTCACTCTTGTATAACTCCACAACTTTGCCAATAACCTCATCTGTACAAGAGTCTAAATTATTCTGGATTCTTGCTGATATTATATGAGGAGGTGATCTGACTGATAAAACCCTCTCAGATTCCAGCTCTACTCCTCCTGTAGGCTGATCTTGTGGGGAAATCTTGCTTCTTTCTGAAAATGACGTCTGGAGCCCCAGTAGAAATCCAAAAACTTTCTTCTGCACACCTCTATATATGCTGCGAGAAGCAGAGGGTACACTTTCCTTTCTCTTAGAAGTTGGTGTAGATGAACTAGAAGCACTATCTGATGGGACAGACAGACAACACTTCTGCAAGTATTTCAAAAAGCTTCTGATAATATCTGAAGCTGTCGACTGGGCTTGAATGGATAAGGAAGAGGCTGCAACAGACGGCTGAATAGCAGTTGAGCTGGAGGAGGACTGGAATGACTGGGTGAAACCTGAGGTAGAAAGTCTTTCCACACTTTTTAGAAGTATTTCACCAACAGTCTGTGTTGCTTTGCTCTGGAACTGAGCACTGAAAAGGCTCTCAACAGAACGGTGTGAAGACCTACAATCAAGTGCAGTGTCTTTAAAATCAGAGTCAAGTTCAGGGAAAGGCCTGTTCTTACACTCTCTGAGATCACTGCCCAATGCACTAGACTTTGATGAGGATGTGCTAGATCTGGCAATGTCTCCCAAACACTGAAATATGTTATATATTTTCACTGAGTCTTCATCTCCTTTTTGGGCTTGACACTCAGGGGATGCATCTGAGTCATAAAGATGGACAACTTCACTAATAATGCTGTTTGTGGATGTAACAGTGAGATCATCTACGTGAGAAGCACCGCGGACTGTAGAGAGCTGCAAATCACCCTGTGTTGGGCAAATTGTCTGGCTCTCAAAACAAGTCATGAAAAGCGCCCGAAGATAACTTCGCACCCTTTCAAACAAATTCAAGGGGGCTGAACGAGACCCTCTCGCCGAAATATCAGATGTACTTAGCACTTTTGTAGATGGCTCAACTGGAAGTGCAACAAGTGACCTAATTATAGTATCCGAGTCACTTTTGCTAGTAATCACACTCGACTCAACGAGTTTATCCAAAGCATCAACGACGATTCTTGCAACATCTACAGCAGCACTGTGTAAATCTCTGGAGGAAGATTTAGATGATGTTGATGCACAAAATGAAACCTGCTGTGATGTGCTTTTCACCAGAACGTCACTCACCACCTGAATGGCCTTAGTTAGAAATCCTTCAGACGTGACTGATGATGTGTTTACTTCAGGCTGGTAGAAGACTGGGACGACGTCTGAGCTGCTAAACTCATGGATTTTTTGCTTTTCTGAAACACCCTCATCATTCTGGTCACTTGAACGGAGACTTGCAGACTTGATGACTTTACACTCTTCAGATGAGCTGGACTCAACAAGCTGTACCTCTTTCTTGTACAAATCCAGGACGTTGTAAATTATGTCATCTGTGCAAGAATCTATATCAGCCTGGTTTCTTGGAGGTGTTTTACTGTCATCTGTGTGTAAAGATTCTGCTGGTTTCAGTCTCTGATTGTTGGTTCCAAACTCACTTGATGAGAGGAGAGACTCTTTTTCTGATTGCGATTCTTGGAGCCTCAAAAGAAATCCAAAAATCTTGTACTGCACGTTTCTATAGAGTCTACGAGCAGCAGAACGGAAGGTCTTTGGTGAAGGAGTTGGTTCTGTTATACTTTCATGATCCACCTGATCAGAGGACGTTTTCTGTAAACCATTCAAAAAGGTGTTCGTAATGTCTGATGCAGCTGATTCCACAAGAACTGATGATGAGTAGGATTGGACAGGTTGGCTCTCAGGCATATCTACCTCCTTTAATATGACACCATCGCTTTCTTCCTTGCTGGAGTGAACTGACACTGCGACTGAAACTTTTCCACATGTTTTGAGGAGAGCATCACTTACAACTTGTGTTGCCTTCTCCTGAAACTCGCTATTGAAAAGACTCTCAATACGTTGTAGTGAAGGAGAGCTACAAGATCCAGCTTCTTTGTCAACAATCACTGATTCAGGAGATGAGATGTCTTTACTCTCCTCTAAATCAGTGCATTCCAAACTCCTTTTGGAAGAAGATCTGCTAGTAGTGATCATTTTTTCTAGCTCCTGCGTCACTCTGTGGACTCTCAGTTTGGATGCCATTGACAGTTGTGAGGTTTTGCCCCCTGTAGATCTGTGGGAATCAGAACTTAGATCATCTGCATGATAAAGACGTGTGATCCCACCAATCACATCATTTGTGCAGCTGACTGTGAGATGATCTATTAGAGAGGTCTGTGAAGCATTTGATGAGGGTACAGTGTTTTGTTGAAGCTCTGTACTTCTTTTCTTCACAAATTGGTTGAACACATTGAAGAACATCTTCAGCTTCTCATTAATTCTGTGAAAAATGGAGTCCTTAGCTGTGTCGCTGCTTAGAGGACGAAGAAATTTCCTGATTTTCATAGAGGGACTAGTTGATGAGAATGTGTCCATATTGCCTTGAATCGTGTTAACAATGTCCCTAGACGTGGCATCCAGATGACTTCGCATCAAATCAGTTGGGAACCCTGAGCGAGCCATTGCCTCTAACATTGAGTCCAGATCTGTTTCACTGGCGAGGCTGCTGGGCATCTCAGGGGAGCTGCTGCTCATGTCCCAAATCCCAGTATTACTGAGAAGTAGCTGACTTACAGCCCTGGTGGCCTTTGTCTGGAGCTCCTCAGGTGGCAGGTGAACTTTTTGCTTCTCGTAGTCCACAAACATGGGTTCCTCTACTTCTAAGGTCGAGGCAGTCTGGATGAGCTTTTCAGCAGTGGCCCTCAGCAGATCACTGGTTTTATGATCAGTTCTCTCAGAGCTGTTTCCCTCCAGGACATCAAGCACCACCACGATTATCTTACCCGTCAGAGCTTCAGTGTCTGATTCAGGTTCGTCTTGTGCCTCTCTCAGATCTGTTGTGTCCTTAAGTTGAGAACGTCTCATTTTACCTTCCAGAATTTTCAGCATTTCTTTAGCCACTAGACTGCACGTTGTCTTCCAGTCCTTGGACCATGAGGATTCTTTACAGGAGGCGACCTTGCAGATTGATTCTTCCATCGCCATTTTCACCTCACTGACAAAATCCTCAACAATGTGGCATATAAGATCAGATGGATCCACTGGAGATCTAGTTTAAGATAATGAGACAAACACACGACGAAAACAGTCGTTAACATCATGTTCTTTTTCATTTGTAACACAACAGTTGATGTCTTTTACATTTTGGTAGCTGCTAAAAAATTCAAAGAAAAATGTTTTATATTATCAAACTGGGTTGTTCTGTTGTAATGATGTCAAGCCATTTCACAATGCAATGAACCCTTAAAGCATGCAAATGGTTGTTTGAGTGGTCAAGGTACTATCAAACAACTGTAACTACTAAAGAACCACTAAAGAACCATCTTTTATAAGAGTATGTATAAATTTATAAGTTCTTTTCAGTAGCTGTGTGCAGGTTTAAATATATATCATGACATAATACATTCGTGTGGTTTTTAATATGCTTTCCAAAACAACTGGTACCAACGTTAATCATAAAAATATAAAACTACACATTATGATTTTGAATTTTAGCCTACATGCTTTGGCACTAAGGAATTATATCTTCCACAGCTAAAAGTCATAGAGTTTGTCAGCAGAGTTGGACAGTAAATAGCTACATTTACTCAGTTCCATGTATTTGAGTAAAGTTTGATTGATCTGTAGTCAAATTCAGGAGTTTTTTCAAACAGTAGTACTTTTTCTCTAATACAGCTGATTATCAGGTTATTCACTTAATCATTCTTCTTTTGTTTTAGAGTCAGATTAGAGAACAATTGTAGAAATCAGTGATAGCCATCAAGCCTTGAGTGGTCAGTCAGTGTAAAGGGGCTGAGTGAAGATGAGAAGTTGACTTCTTGGGCTTTTTGGTCTCACCTTTTGTCTAAGTTTTCTTCTGCAGTGCTGCTGCCAGATGGATTGATGGAAGCATATTCAGCTTTCTTCCTCAGCT